CAACCACAATCAATTTCAAGGACGGTAAATCCATCAACCAGCATGTATGTATACACTACTACAGCATATTTATTGTTCACATTGGCCCTGTAACAAAAACAAAATGGACAATTGTAGAATATAGAAAATCAAAACAAATGATTCAGAAAAAGTTCGTTCAACCCCTCCAACTTTCATGGTCTTAATCCCTCTATGCTAAAGTATGGTAATCCCCAATCATATTTTAGCTCTACCAATTCTTCATTTTTTCAATTTTGTCTATTCAATTTGTATACTCTTCCTTATTAAGTCAATTGTTACTATTACTACTCTCACTTTTAATTGTCCCCGGTATTATTTCACTTGTCATTCTAAATCAATTCCTTTATGCAACATTAAATTCTATGCTATTAAATTTCACACAATATTGCGTAACGTTTTTATTTTTTCGATTTGTCTACTAATCTTATAATTGCACACCTTTTTCAAGTTCTATCCATCCTATGAATTATTCTATATATGACATTAATTTGCTTTGCCACTTGACATTTAACTACGATTATAATCACAAGCACTTTAGTTTTAATTGCACTTCATATTATTATTATTATTTCATGCATTCACACCTATGTTTCAATTCCATCACCGGATATAACTTCTTAAAAACCATATATATACGATTGTACAGCTTGATGATAAATTCGTTGAAAAAAGAGTCTCTTCGCTGAATCATTTGTTTTGATTTTCTAATTGTAGAATAGTATAAAGCTCAGATAGTTTCATTTAGTGAAGGAAAATCTACAGAGTCCTCACGATAACTGTGACAACCGTTCGACGACGCATAGGCATCCTTAGCAGCGTCGTCAAACACACTTGCCACATTTCTTGACCTGGACGTCATAGTGGACTGCGTTGAGTGAGTTTTGAAAAATTATATCGCATTAATAAAGGCACTACACTCGATTGAACTTATGGAGCTGTGTCACATATATAGTGATGACAACCAATGCTGTCCATCAGGGATGTCCCCCTAGTAATCACTTCCCTTTAATTCCATTATAGATGCAGTAATGGACCTAACCCTAACTCACTTCAGTGACTCAGGGATTGTTGAGTTGTTACCAGGGAGTAGTCTTCTTAACTTAGAGAATATGTGGATGATATGGTCCTCCTAGGTAAAGACGCTGATAAAACAGAGTTTTCTGAACACCTTGAACAGAAATCTTAGAATGTTTGACATGCAATTCACTCTTGTAAAACGTAAGTAAGATAATGGTGTACAGGAATCGACTACACCAACTAACACCTAGCTTAAAGATAAGCAAAAGTGAAGTGGTTGAGAGTGTTGATCACTTTATTTTTTTTTCGAAGTTGAATCGGCTCTAATGGACTGACTGATTGGTGACGAAATCTCAGTATAGGTAACACACATCATTATCACTGACTTAAACGTGATGTCTTACTGTAACAGGAGAAGATTAAAGATTTGGTAATGGATGTTTATTAAAGAAAAACGCATCATGCTTAGGGCACACATTAATTGTCGGCTAGGTCAGAAGACAATAAATTGTTCTGATTGGTTAGAGATTGGCCAAGGTTAAACGAGGTTGTCCAATGAGGTTATTTTATCCCCCCACACATGGTCAACTAAATCCAGATTCAGGGAATAAACATTTCTACTTCTGCAGCCATTGATTTAAAATGTTGATTTCAATTTTGGCCACTTCCTATCCAATCTGCATTACGCCAAACTTACTATCGATCAAAGAAATGCGCAGAAGTTCGATCTGTCCTTCTTTATGACTGTTAAACATGGCCATTGAGAGTGAGTGGAAGATATGAAAAGGTTAGCTATCCATGTTTGCGTTTTATCTCCCATATTAAGTAGTATAATATGGTAAGTGATATTAACATTAGGCGTGGGGAAGGCGAGTCAATCAATGCGTTTTGTGAAGCTACATCAACTAAGATGTCTAGGACATGTGTTGCGCATGCCAGCCAAGCCATCACAGTCTTCGCTGACAGCCGATGTTAGCTGACATAGGATTAGGCTGGAAAACAGTAAGGAGTGGTAGTACACGATCCTGACATCAGTCCATGAAGTCTCTGACGTATGGTTTGAGTCAGGTAAGGAAGTGTAGACTTCCTAGTTGTGGGGTTCTCGGGATCCTAAGAATCAATAGCTTGAGACTGTTGGCGATATCGCTTCAAAACCATCCTCAATGCCACAGAGACACTGACTCCCAGACACATCAACTTTTTTATGTAGCATCACTAAACACACAAGTAAAAGATTTTTTTCCTATAACCGTACATTATACATGCACAAAAAAAATTAGATGTATACTTTTTTTCGATGTTATAAACTTTACATTATTTTACTGTATCGTAGATGCACATCATTTTCTAAACGCTCACATTTGGTACATTTTCCTCAACAAGGTCCTTAGCATTCTTGTTTTCTTTTCCAGGTGCGATGGGCACTGGACAAGAAACAAAGGAAGCACGAGATCCAACGAACAACATCAAGGAAGCCATGTACATACACCCATTAGCATAGGCAGACAGACCAGTAGGCACTCCACCAAGCCGCTCGGAAGAGTTTTTTTCACCCTTAAGGGAACCATCGAGTTTTTTTACTTCCAGCTGGTTCTGTCTTAGGGTCCTCACAACCCCACTAGGGGGGGAGTCAGCTGTAGCGGTAAATAATTTCCCAAAATTATTGACCACAGCAATCATCACTGAACATCGGATGCTGACCCTCACTGTTTAAGTCGACTTGTTTAGCTGAAGGCTTCCGGTCAAGCATCCTTGCCATTTGGTACTCCGTCGTGTCACGTTCGTGCACGATCACTAGCTAGTTAAGCACTCAATACGGTTTACTATTTGGTCCCGAAATATATCACGTACTTTGGACGATCAATATTGCCTTTTGCTTTGTCTATGGTACACGAGAAAAGAATACCATAGAAGTTGTTGGTATAAGATCTTGCGTCAGTATACTCCGTACAATTCGCGAACGTCGATACTGTCAGCCTCCAAACTGGTTGTTGTTGCTGTTGTTGTATTTCATGTGTTACTATTCTTTCCCCGCATACATTTCTGCTCTTTAAAGTTCTTTAGAATTTTGCTTTTTTCCGCTACAACTGTCGTCCACACATCAGGATGCCTAAACTCTTCTGCATTTCTTATTGTTCTAAATCAAAGAATTATCTCAGATGATTGATATAAGTATAAAACTTGGGCACTGTGGTGGTAGAGTGTAACTCCATTATGGATAAGATTTTATTTTGATAAATCACACAGTGTTGTTATACAGTAATATTAACTGATGACCACGTTTCGAGCACAAACTATTGCCACTCATAATCATATCAAGTTCTTCAAAACTACGGTGGCGTTTCCTTTGTCAGCTTTTGCGATGACAATAATTTTATCCTGTTTTAAACTAATTAAAGCTTCTCTTTACGATTTTGTTAAGTTTGATTTTGCCTTCTTTTGATTTTTCAGGGTTAATGCACATTGTGCTCGAACCTGTTCTGCTGTTGTTTTATCTATTGAACCTAGTGCTACTTCTATGTTAGGAATGACATCTTCTTGTTTTAATTTATTAACTGTAACGTTGAAATTTAGTCCTTTCTCAAGTACTTTTATCTCACTAGAGCTTAGTTCCCTTGATGAGAGGTTGATCACCCACTTTGTTCTGTCGATAGAGGATGAAGCGTTGACATCAATTTTGTTTGCTGTGTTCTTTTCTTCAATTAGTTTGTTGAATTTTTTGATTTGTGTGGTTTTTGATTTTCTTAATGCTGATTCTCTAGCTTTTTCGGATGTTTCAACAACAATTACATAATCTTTGTCATTGACCATATATTTGAGTTTGTGTTTGAGTTTTTTGATTTCATTTCGTATATTATTTAGTTTCACAGTAATTCGATGTAGTTCTTCTCTTAGACATAATCTACTGATATGTTCAGCTGATATGATTATGAGTGGCAATAGTTTATGCTCGAAACGTCATCAGTTAATATTACTGTACAACACTGTGTGATTTATCAAAATAAAATCTTATCCATAATGGAGTATCTCAGATGAGCACTACATGGAGCCGTGAACATATTAAAATTAGCTATCAACAAAACTTCGTGTGCACTTCTTGAAGGAACTGAAAAACAAATGTACAGAACTGGTTTTCTTTTTTCATATGCAACTACAGAACCACGTCACAAGATACACTTCATATATATTATTTACTTTACATGAAAATTCTTGTATGAAGAGGAAACATTTTGGAAGTGAATACGGTGAATATTTCTGTACTATGTGTTCACAAATATTGTCTGAAATAAAGCTTTTTTTCCTTCACGTTCCCCAGTGGAACATAGAGCTTCAAGCGAGTGGCTTGAAGTTTCTGTAGCAGTGTTTATTTTACAGGATGGGGTTGCTAGCCTGCCTCATGCCCAACCTTTCCTCTTTACCAGCATTATTTCTGGCTTAGCGAGGTAAGGGAGAAGTGCGTCGGTGGCCGGGGATCGAACCCCGGACCATGTGCATGGTCGGCGAGCGTCCTAACCACTATGCCACCGACGCACGAAATAAAGCTTTATCAATATATTATTAAATAGTGCACCTCTACTCACAGTTCCACGTTGAAACTCGCTCACTCACTTAGTCAGTCAGTCAGCCAACAGTTAATCTGATGACAAAAAGAATATCCGCACACATTGAGTATGTTCTCTGTCTTTCTATCAACAAAAATTGTCTGAATATCTGTGTGTATGTGTGTGTGTGCAAGCTACTTACACATATACACACTGTTCATGAATTAGAAACACAATACATTCAATGGAACAACGAACGTGTAACTCAACTACTACTAAACTACTCACGATAATTCACAATTCGCAGTAGTCATAAATTCAGACACATAAATAAACTCAACCAACAGCTGGATATTTCACCTTCACCTAAATAATCGTAAGTTGTTATAACACTAAAGTAAGTTGCCAACATCTCTCTCTCTATTCAGGTATGCTAATTAACCTTTGGAGTTTTTTTTTGTCTGATCGAGATAAACAATATGACGTTGAAAAACCAATCAGAATAGTCTGATGATAACAAAACAACAACACATCAAGTCATTTGGTGGATGGTGACTGACTAGCAGTGGAATCCACGATGCAAGCATTTTGTCTTATTTGAGACTGGTCATCAACTCAGTCGGTCGGTCGGTTGGTTTTCGACATAGAACTTTGCACATATGTGCGTCAGTTCAAGTCGTCACACTCCATGTAGCACACAAAGCAAGAGAAGAAAGTAGGAGAAATGCATATTAGAGACAGTAAGTTGAGGTGTGAGACAAAGGAGTGGTAATAACGGAGAACAAAAGTTTAATTGGAAATCATAAGTCACAAGGAGTGGATGCATCTGCACCAACCATTGAGAACGATTTTGAGCCATATCATTGATTGTTTCCAACCATTGATTTTTACCGTCCCAATGACCCCAACCAGGAAGTCTACACCTTCCTACGTGGCTTAAGCTAACTGTTGTGGATTTCATTGACTGGTGCCATGTTTTGGTTTGACCGCCGATAGCTCTTTTCCAGCCTGGCCCTATATCAGCTAACATTGCCTGTCCAGGAAGGCGATGACAAGGCATACGTAACACATGTCCCAACCATCCCAGTCGATGTAATTTCACAGTCCTTTCTACCATTACTCATTCTGTTTCACCCTTATACTTGTCAAAATTCTATTGATACTCTTCACTCATTTTCTTGTCTACCTTTGTGTGCTCTTTGGAACGTGGCAACTAGAACTGCTGCACTTGGGTGCCAAGTTCTATGTTGAATCCAGCCAACCAGCCATTTGATTCTTTAGGGGTTTGGAATCAAGATTTTCCATCTCCCCTAGGTAGACAGAGACCAGCACATATCCACCACCACACACTTAGGTTTTAAGAAGCGGCAGACGTTGTTCACAGGAGGCTAGCAACCCCAGCAGCGCCCATAAAAAAAAACACTATAGCTACTGAAACTTCGAAACTCACAACATCTTGAAGTCTCATATTTTTCACTAAGAACCCAAAAAAATTGAAAAAAAACACGAACTCACACGAATCTGATCTTCTGACATTGCACCAACACCACCATTAATTGGTTGTTCTATAGAAGTATTTGAAGTAAAACATCCACTCGGCAAATTCGATGAGAACTGTTGACGATTATCTAGATTTGTATCAGAAGGATAAAAAGAGGAATATCCGCCAGAACCACCACCAACACCACCGCTGCTGCCTAATAAACCAGAATTATTGATCCCACCATGTCGAAGAATATTTTGATTATTATGATTATTAGCATTATTAATGTCGTGTTGATTTTCTGCATAGACAGAAGTTTTCTCCGACGATGGTGTTGTTGTTGTTGGTGGTGACCAATTCCCAGTAATGAATTCACCACTATGGTTTGTATTATCATTCGGTGGTGGTCGAACACTTCCCGGCATAATGGACAGATTGTTATCCTCATTAGGGAATAACAGTCGCCGTCTATCAACACCACCACTAGCTGATGCTGGATGGTGGTAATTTTCATCATATTGTAATGGATCTCGACAAATTGATTGTGTCAGCGGAGGTGGCACCAGCGGCAGTGGGGGCGGTGGTTGATGAAATTGTGTATATTGACTTGAAGGACAACGAGGCTGTTGGGGATAATAAAGAGAATTTGATGATGATGATGATGAATAGTATTGTGGAGCCTGAGAAGTAGATGAAGGCGGCAGTGGCACAGGAGCTGGAGTAGGAGCAGGAAGGGGATGTGAAAAATATTGTCCATAGTGATTATTATTACTATTATTATTATTATTATTTTGTGTAGGATGAATACGATGATTCATGGGATGTATGCATGGATCAGAATTGTCTAATTTTGATCGTAAATTGGAATGTTGTAACGATGGTTGTCCGCTTTGGTAATTATTTCCCAATGGATAAGGATTATAGGCATTATATGATGATGGACAACGTTGTGATTCAGAGGTGGTTGGCCAGCGTTTACTGCCAATTATTGATTGATGCTATAGAAGAAGAAACGAAATATTACAATTAAATATGTAAAATTAATTAACATTGATCAGAAATACATAACAAGGAAACAATAATGAAGGTTTCCACCCGTGAACTAATTTATTATAATGGCTGATTGAGACTGAGTTTCAACATAGAAATTTGCTCAGAAGTACAACAACAGCTAAAGTTGCCACACACTATGCACAGTATGATGCACCATGCTTTGCGTACTGTTACAAGACTGGCAAGAGTCTATATCTGCACTCAGTCTTGCAGATGAAACACTTGAAGTTGTAGATAAGTTAGTGTATCTGAGTAGTTGTGTGAGTGCTGGTGGAGGTGACGGACGACAAGATTTCTAACTGTATCATGAAAGCTAGGGTGGTGGTATACGTCAATTCGAGACACCTCTGGCTATTACATTGCTTCGATGTGAGCAGTCTTGCTCTACATCCGTTGAAACCTGGCCTCTCGGAGCTGAGGATGTTCGGTGACACTGCGTATTCTATCATCACTGTCTCCCGTAGAATTGCTTACCTTCGATGGCATCATTGTGTGGGTAATTCCGAGGTCCGACAGCGTGTGTTTGAATACAATGGGGAGATCATTCATTGAGTGTTGTCATCTAGATACACCGATTCCGGTGGCTTGGACATGTGCTATGTGAATATCATCTCAGAGGTGTCCGTACTGATCTCCGTTCACTAGCCCTGGGACGGGATGGTATAATCGGAGAGGTCGTCAGCCCATGACGTGGCACATCATGGGATAAAGAATATTTGTGTTAGGTTAGCATCAGTTAGTATATCACGACTCCCTAGTTGATGTTCCAGAGATAGATAGAATCAGTGACTCGCAACTTTATTGGATATGGCCAAGAATCGCAATCAATGATGAACGTGCTGCAATTTCCTTCTTTCTTCCGTTTATGACAATAATTCGACAAATGTTGTTTGGTCTTGTTAAACGTATATAGCTGCTTCCTTTCCGGATGGAGTCCTTTATTTATCCTCTACCTATTTTTTCTTTATATGGTGTTGTTTTATTATTATCATCATTATTGTGCGGTGCATCTTCTTGTTGGTGCCTATATTGTACCAGGTTTTGTGTTTTGAATAAAAAGTAAACAATGTACAGGGGAAACACAGTAACATGGATATAGGAAATTACAAAGACTGAATGCGTCACCTTACGGGTGTCAGAAGATTCTTCGACTACTACTTCACGAGGGCTCGCAGGGTTAGGAATAACACTGAGTGCAAGGGCATAAAAATTTCTACGCGACTGGACCCCAGTAGATAGTCAGTCATATGTGGGCTGCTGTATGTGAACGGATCCGCTGGAAGAAGGAAGGACTGCGTTATCCTCCGATTTCTTTTCATAATTCACGTTTACGCGCCCCAACCGACTGCAGTTCGGAAGAAATAAAGGATGAGTTTTTACCAAAAACTGTCTGGCTTGCTGTAAAAAGTAAAACGTTCAGATACAGTCGTTTCAGCAGGCGACTTCAATGTCTAAGTGGGGAATAACTCCATAATGGTTAAGATTTTATTTTGATAAATCACACAGTGTTGTACAGTTATATTAACTGATGACGTTTCGAACACAAACTATTGCTCATAATCAATAGTTTGTGCTCGAAACGTCATTAGTTAATATAACTGTACAACACTGTGTGATTTATCAAAATAAAATCTTAACCATTATGGAGTTATACTCTACCATAGTGCCCAAGAAGTTGTGCCATTCTGAGAAGTATAGTGGTGACACCGACGGAATTCCTTGCTGACGAACAGACAGAGGTGATTGTTTCCTATAGTTCTATCCAGATAATTATCTTCTCCTGGTCAGCACTAACTTCAGGCACAAAGACAGACATTTTCTGACCTGGCTACTTTCATCGTCAAATCAAGGATGGACTCAAATAGACCATTTAGTGATAAGCTATCAGTGGCGAGGATCTGTAGAGAACTGCTGCTCTTTCTGGAACATGTGCGTAGACTCCAGTCAAGCCCTGGTGGGTGCACGTTTATGCTTACCACTGAACGGACATAGAAGACAGACAGCAATGAAGCCGTTACGCCCCCAACTTGATCAGGATACAGTCCCTATTTATGGGAAGAAATAGTCAACCGCGTAATGTAGATTGATTGCAAGACTCATCCTCAGGAAGCCTGGCATAATATCTGATCAGTTGTACATACAACTGTAAAGGCCGTTCATAACCTAAAACCAATGGTTAGTAAAAATCAGTGTGGGTTTCTGCCACTTCATCCAAAATGATGGATGCAAGAAGACTGATTCCAGGGGGCTCCGAATATGATGAGGAACGAAAGCTGCTCAAACGCACACTGACAAAAAGTCTTCGCAACGACCGTGAACAGTGAAGGGAGACACAAGTGAAAGAGATGGAAAATGTATCGGCTTATCAGTGAGACAGGTGGCAAAAGGCAAACGATAAGCGAGACAATCTCCAAAGAAAGTAGAGCTCTAATTAGCTCTCAGGATAGACGATCGGGATGCTGGAGGGATTATTTCAATGAATAATTTAAATGTCCTACAGCTATGCTTAACTTGCTCAACGTATAACACCGACCTGAATGAGATGTATACACTGGACCTCTATATGTGACTGAGGTTACAAAGGCTATCTTTGGTTTGGAACGAGGTAAGGCAGTGGGACCCGATGGGATGAATCCGGAGGTGTTCAAGAAGAGTGGTGACGTATTGCTGTCTGGGTTAACTAATATATTAGGCGATGTCTAGGAATCAGAGATAGTCCCGTTGGACTGGTGTAAGTCATTCATCATCCAAGCATACGAGAAGGGAAACAAGTCTTCCCGTGATAATTATAGGGAGATTAACTTGACTTATATGGTATGTAAAGTTTAAGGCTCAGTAATCACTAGCAGATTAAGTGATGCTCGAGAGAAATAAAAACGATAAAACGAGGTAGGTTTTAGATCAGGTAAAGGGTGCATTGATTATATCTTCACTCTTCGGCAGATTTTGTAAAATAGACATATTAACCGACGTCCAACAATTGCCATATTTCTTCACCTGAAGGTGAAAATCGACTCTCTCGACCTTGAGTTACTATGGAAATGTTTAGTCATGAATGGAGTGTCAAGAAAGTACATCCCACTAATCAAGGAAATCTACTTGAACTCATACAGTCATGTAAGAGCTTACGAAGAGTTGTTATTTGAAGTGATGACAACCAATGCTGTCCATCAGGGATATCCACCTTGTAATCATTTCTCTTTAATGGACTTAACCCCAACTCACTTCAGTGACTCAGGGATTGAATTGTTACCAGAGTATGTTCTTCTTAACTTAGAGAATATGTGGATGGCAGTCCTCCTAGGTATAGACGCTGATAAAAAGCAGAGTCTTCTGAGCACCTTGAAAAGAAATCTTCGAATGTTTGACATGCAATTCACTTTTGTAAAAACGTGAGTAAGATGATGCTACAGGATTGGTCGGGAATACATTCACTCCTAGTTTAAGGACAGGTAAGAGTGAAGTGGTAGAAAGTATTGACTACTTCACATGTTTGTGAAGTTGCATCAGTCCTGGTGGACTAATCGCTGACGAAATCTCCTTACAGATACAAAAAGCTCGTGTGGCAAACTTGCATCACCTCTGGTGTAAACGTGGTACCCCTAGATTAGAAATAGGAAGTGAAGTGGTAGAGCACGTTGACCACTTCACTTACTTGGGAAGTACCATCAGCCAATGCCAACGGGTTGATCTCTGACGAAATCTCAGCACGGATACAGAGGGCTAGTTTCGCATATGCCAGTTTACGCCGTCTCTGGCGTAGACGTGATATCCGACTATCGACCAAAGGGCATATGTACTGCTCAACAGTCCGCTCCGTCATCCTTTATGGCTGTGAGACCTGGCCATTGAGAGCGGAAGACATGAAAAGATTAGCTGTCTTCGATCATAGGTGTCTGCGTTCTATCTCCTCTGCGAAGTGGTATAATAAGGTGAGCGATATTGAGGTTAGGCGTCAAGTGCTAGGGAAGGCGGGGGAATCAATAGACGAGACTGTGAAATTACATCGACTGAGATGGTTAGGACATGTGCTACGTATGTTTAGTCATCGCCTTCCTCGACGGGCGATCTTAGCTGAAATAGGGCCAGGTTGGAAAAGAGCTAGCGGCGTTCAAACCAAAACATGGCACCAGTCAGTGAAATCTACAACAGTTAGTCTAAGCCAGTCACGTAGGAAGGTGTAGACTTCCTGGTTGGGGTCTTCGGGATGGTAAAAACCAATGGTTGGAAACAATTGGTGACATGGCTCAAAATCGTTCTCAGTGGCGCAGATGCATCCACTCCTTGTGACTCATGATTTCCAATGAAACTGTTTTGTTCTTCGTTATTACTATTCCTTTGTCTCACACCTCTGTTTACTGTCTATATTATGCATTTCTCCTTTCTTCTCTTGCTTTGTGTGCTACATGGTGTGTGGCGACTTGAACTGACGCACATATGTGCAAAGTTCTATGTCGAAAACTGATATCTGGCTAACGATCCAAAGGATGTGTATATAATGGCTGAGCAGTTTGCTGCCTTCTCCTCTTTATGGCTGTGAGAAATAGCCATTGAAAGTGGAAGATATATAAACGGCTGCTGCTATCTCTGACTACAGACGTTTGCGTTCTATCTCACGTGTTAAGTATTATATAATAATATGGTGAGTAATACTCAGATGATGGAGTACAGTTTCAATTAAGAAGGGGAAAGTGAATCGATGAAGTTGTGCAGCTACAGTGGTTGAGATGGCTACGATTCCCAGCCAACTACTATTAGTATTGCATAACTTCATTTTCAAATCTCAACACGAGCTGGATTCAGTTAGGGAACCACTGAAAACCACTAGGGAATACTGGACAGCTGTTTCGTCCTTTTTTCGAACTCTTCAACAGTACATAATCATGACCTCATCACGGATTGAACTGAGGGCATTCAGGATGACCACTCAGCCACTGAGATGGAATCTAATGTCTGACGACGCATGAATTTTATCTTCCGCTAAAACAACTGTCCAGTAAGTAGTCCATAGTTGGCTTTCAATGGTTGTCTGTCTAACTGAAGTCAGTTCATCATCAAACTTGCAATCAATTAAATCCCTGAAAATCAATCTTCGAAAATTATTATATTATTGTATATTCTTATATTCTCTGGGTATTCCGACCTCTGACAGGAAGTACTTCTGGAACTTTCTTCCTTGTTTGTTGTTATATTAACTCACAAATGTAAGACTTTGAAGAGAAGAAAGAATTCTCTTTACTGTAAACCATCTTTATATTTTCCCATAAAACAATTATTTTATAAAAACTTTAGATTTTCATCATAACTTAATCGACGACAGTATATATGTGCCAACCCCCCCCCCCCATACAATGAAAGCGACATTCACAAGGAGTGTGAGGCGGACAATAATAATCAGACGGCCTGACACAACTGCTATACGACGACGCGTGGTTTTGTAATTCGGGAATAGCACGTGCTAATAATTGAGAAGGGTGAATACCGCTCACAAAGGATTACATAAATGACTATAGGAATGTATATATATATATATATATATATATATATATATATATATATATATGAGGTGGGATGAAGTCGGGTTTAACAGTAATGCCTAAAGTCTTTCACAGTTTGTCTTAATACTTTATTTAAGTTTAGGTTAAAGTTAGTTAAATAACAAAAGCCGACAGAATGATGACATATACTACTAACTCAGTGTAAGTGTGAGTAGTTTGGGACTACTCACGCGTAAAGTACCAGTATTTACCAGCCAGACAGAAGTGATATGAACACTGGACGGTTATTTTGCTTGTCTCAGTGGTATATCTAAATAGACTCACCTCCGACAGACGTATCTGTCCAATCTACCCGAATTCTGTCTAGCTGCCTGAGCAAACTAGTAATACAAACAGGTTCACCAACCGATAAACTTAGTCCAACAAAAGCCGATGACATAAGAATCTACATGGATTTTGTTAGTCATTTGACTCCCAGTTGGACAGAACAGATTTCTCACAGACCCAGGCGCCAAGAGGTATCTTCATTGTGTACAGCTTGATAATATGATCTAATTAAGACCATATACTACTGGCTGACCTAGATGAGTAGTTGTATACCCACACACATACCCACTGACGGACGACCTAGTTAGCCAGGTTGACGTGAATGGAGAGGAATTTCAACCAAGGGCTCCATACTACGACTGTTATTTGCTGCATAGTGACTAACAGTGGAATCAGAGATGTTCGCACTTTGCCCTACTTGGGACTTCGTCTGCGGGATACACCAACTAGCATCTTATCTAGCAAATGGTATTCTCATCACTGAAGTTGAGTCGAACACATCAGCAACCATCGTTTCAAACGCCAAAGCGTTGACGCCCCCACTAGGACACATGGGTGACCACGGCCACCTGTTGTGCTGGGGACTGCAGGTACATTCAGCTGACGAACCCCCCAAATAGGACAAAATGCGCGCATCCTGGATTCCACTGCCAGTAGTCACCACCGACCAAAATAAAATCATGTAAATCCTGACATATTATCGAAGCTTCCATAGTACAAACCGACATGTCAATACAGACCGAACATTTCTCTTCAAAATGAATGGAGTTAATCAACGGTGAATTCAAAATTCCACTCTACACCACGAATTAATATCAGTTAGAGAGCCACTGAGAGCCACCAGGAAGTACTGCCAGACAGCAGTTCTTGGGACGCATCGACAGTACGCACCCACCACAGGACCACTCAGCCATCGAGATCCGACTGAATCGCCAACTCATGAATTTTAACTGCTTCCAACTCAAGATTTTAGCCTCTGTCAGTCAGTGTCACCGGCAGCGAGTATTTTGTCGTCACTTCCAACCGGATGAACCTCACTGGTCACAACGTCTCACTAGAACTCCACGTAACTTCGTCTTGTAGCCAGTAGTCACTGGAGAGCATCAGATTAATTTTCATTCAAGAGGAGTTTGTGTTCGTAGGGGGATTTGATTTGTTTCAAGTCCCAGTGAAGTGCGTACTGCTGATGAGTTCCAGACTAGCACGAAACAGATGTCTAGTACTTCCATGATGGTTCAATGATTCACTAACTGATTATCAATCCATGAGAAAACTTGAAACAAACTCTTGAAAATACAAAATTAACTTAAATCATAAAGAACTGACTTACATTTGCTTGTAAATTTCGATTATATCCAGTACTATTATTATTAATAAGATTGTTATTATGATCATTATCAGGATAGTGTTGTGAATATTTTGTAGGACAATTCGTATTTCGTATAGGGAATTGTTCAAAGTGTTGAAATGAATTTAATTTGCTCATATCGTTACTACTATTAATAGTATTATTACTATTATTATTAAACATTGTCGAGTGCATAACTTGTGTTGATGCAGGAAAATTATTGTATTGAGAATAAGGCATTGAATTTTCATATGGAAATGATTCACGTCCATTCACCAGCATATTACGATATGGGATTGATGAATTCATAGGGATTTGTTGTTGTTGTTGTTCACAAGATCCTAATAATCGTCGTAATCATGAAAGAGGAAGTATTAAAATCGAATAAATTTGAAAACAGAGATAACAGGTATAAAAACTTTCAAAGAATTATAACATATAATCATGTAAAGTTACAAGAATGATAACGAATTAATTTTTCGTTGTTTCGTCCTCATTTGATAATCTTCAGCCAATCAAGGATTGAACCAATGGACCTTCAAATTACAGGATGGGCTCGTTACAATAGATAGACCATTGGCCCTCCCCCCTACCAGGACCTGGAGGATCTTGAATTAGACACCTGGTGAGGGTATAAGTGTGTGTACTGATGAAGAGTCCCGGAAAAAGGTGAAACACTTACCCGTTGTCCAGTACTTTCTAGTTTCTAATGGATCGCTAACTAAAATCGATCCCTGATCAGTTTAGACACACCTATTGTGTTGGAGGACAGACAGTTATACCACTACTATACTGTCTGCCTGTCTAAATGTAGTTTAGTAAAAGTAATTTGCTTTATTCAATAACAGTATTTATGTGAGATGCAGTGTGGAATTCTTAGCATTTCGTACAATATTGCATCTATCTAATTTACTCAATAGAGGCAAAAACAAATCAGAAAATAATGGCACAGAGTAAATGTAACCACGATTGATAAAAGCGACATTTTGACATTAGCAGTAACAATAAAGTTAAAATGTACAAAAAGTGTAAAATGGTGATAATAATGTTAATGACTAAGACTGTAAGATAATTGAAATAGTATCTCCACAAATTACAAATAGAAGAAGATATAACAGCCATTTATTTTACTAGTTACACAATAAGACATAGGTTTCACGCTTAACACTATCTCTATCACATAGAACGCAGGCGGACGGGTGGGCCAAATAGGGTATCGTTGAGTCTCTGTACTTGGTTGTACGGGCACTTAATCTTTTACAATGACTTCTAGTCCTACCTGATGAGATGCAAGAGGGAGAGTTGACAGTCAGAAAATATGGATTTATAGTATTTGTCACATGAGTTCAGGTGTCTATAGTCTACAATAATAACCAGCTGACTTAGTGGTACACTACACTACTTGCCATACTAACAACCTTTAAGACCCTGTGCAATATGACACAGTTATTTGGTTACAGGATTTCATCATGAGCTGACATCGGTTAGAGAACCATTGGAAAACCAACAGAGAGTACTAGACAGCTGTTTCGCCCCGGTTTGGGACTCTTCATCAGTACACACCCACCGCCACGCCAGGGTTCGAACCCAGGACCTTCTGGTTACAAGGCGAGCTCGTAGACCACTAATCCACTGGGACCCGATCCAATGGCCAGTCCATGAATTCTAACTTCTGCCAATTCACGACATAGCGCGACCGCTAGCCAATGTCTTCGGTGAGTATCTGTCCTCACACCCGACCTGCTGCACCCTACTGGTCACGACTTCCCACTAGAATCCCAGGTAACTATCTACCTGAATAGGACCAGTCGCTAGTAAGCATCTCATTGATATTCAAGTACTAGTTTGTAGGGATTTGGTCGATTGGTTACAGGATTTCATCATGAGCTGACATTGGTTTTCCAATGGTTCTCTAAACCAATACTTGAATATTGACATAGTTATTTTTGAATAGTCCAGGTAAGACTAAGGGGGGAGGGAGGGAATTGAAGTACAATAGGTAAGATGCGAGAGTTAATGAAATTACAAAAGTGTTACAGTAGAAGGCAAGCTAGAGTGTACTTTCCTTTGATCAAACCGATATATATATATATATATATATATCTGTCTATACTGTTTATATTCTTTAACCAATCACTGAGCATGTGATTTTTGTTTACGTTAAACAACATGAGATAGAGTGTTCAAATATATCGATCATAGTATTCTGTTGCTAATGCAGTCAGTATACAACCGTGGGAAAAGTATTCTGACGTTAGCACGATCAAATACAATGATTCATACTACTGAGAGAATAATATTCCGTCGGAACACATTGTCTGTATCGCATCACAAAAAGAAGTAGAAGTTGAGCGATTAGTGATTATCTTAACATCTTAGTGTGAGGATGATGGTTAGACGTAATATTTTATTAGAAATCGGCAAGATATAGGATGATCAGATCAAGAAAGGTAAGAGGATAGAAGAATTACTCCAAGGTATTTTATACTTGACTTCGTTTCTACTTCACTGTCTTCTATGGTTATAAGCATCTTGTGAATGAACTGGATAGTGTAGATCACGTTTATACCTGAAGGTGAGGTTAACTGTCTGATACTTAGAGGGATTTCAATGTAAGACCATTTAGCTTAAACCTATGACGCAGTAATCTATACACTACTGGTTGGCTGGAAGTTAGACGTCTAGACACAAATGAAGCCAAAGCTTCTTGAACATATATATCTAAATGTTAACATAGACGAATAGTTGCTGAAATTCAACAACATCCACCCTTCGCTTACCTTAACTTGTGAAGAGGAGCAGGAGGATAAACTACATTTCCTGGATGTCTTGCTAAGTAGGAGAGAAGATGGGTCACTTGGGAGAAGCGTCTATAGAAAAAGTACATTCACAGGGCAATACACACACTACCTTAGTTACGTGCATATTAAATATATAAGGAATGTTGTAAAATGTCTTGCGAGCAGAGCAAGGAAGATATGTACGGATGACCTCTTACAAAAGGAATTTGAATATATTCACGATTCCTTGATGGAGATGGGCTATCCGAGTAGTTTCATAAAGAAACATGAAAATATCGGAGAAAAAACCGGAGACTCTGACTGCACATAAGAAACCTCTATTTATTAGGTTACAATATAATGGTGACTTATCAAGTGAGATTCTATTTCAAAGACTTTCAAGGAGTATACGAAGAACATTTTATGCAGCACACCTATGTTCGTCATTCTCTAGCCGACGAATGATTGGGATGCAAACGAAGGATAAGCTTGGTAGTTTTGCCACATCTATGTGCATTTATCAATTCAACTGCACCTGCGGTGACAGTTATATTGGGCGTACTACTAGACAGCTTAGCCAACGTGTTAGTGAACATCTCCCATCGTGGTTTGGCAAAGGACAGACAAAAACAATCCGTAGCTCAATTTTGTCACACTTAATTGATAGTGGTCATGTAAAACGAGAGCCTTCAAAGTAATTCATCGTATCCCACAGAATCTTTCCAATAGACTTCGTATTCGTTTATTGCACACAGCTGAGGCGATAGGCATTCGAACTATTAAACCTAAACTATGTATTCAAAAAAAGTTCGTACAGCCATTATCCCTCCCTTGGCCTATTAAGACATAACCAACTAATGACTTCTACACCACCCCTTGTTTATATTTTCAACCCCTTTCTTATCATCCCTTAATCTTATCTTCATTATAAACGTGTTTCATTTCCTTCCCTTACAATCTAACATTACTTAATCGGTACATTTGTTTTTACTAGCCTTTATCGACTACTTCCACCTGAAAAGTTGTTTGTTTAATCATACCGTTTTTTCATTATTCGTGTTATCACAGATTGCCTCGCTTTTTCATCCTTATTATTGATAAGACCATTATTATTATTACTATTATTATTATCATTACTACTATTATGACTAATTGCACAATTTATATTCACCATCGTATTATCCTATAGACAAAACACTATGATTGGTTTATATTTGAATTTTTATTTGTAAACTTATATATATTAGAGTTAAGCCTGATGAGATCTAATTGAAAACAATATCGTTCGCTTAAATGTGTTGTTCTAAATTTTACTATGGGAATACTTAATATATATATCTAAGATTGACAAAAAGCACTGAATTCCCAGGGCAAAAAATAAGGATGAAATGAATGTTGGAAGTGAATTACACAGCTTACAGAAAGTTCAGTATACCACAAGGAAGATGATGATATTACCAGATTCAAGGACGCTGACTAGTTATCGGGTTAACTGGTTCCTCCTCTTGTATGTATTCACTTTATGATTCAAAACTAAGATCTTTCGACATTATGTATGTTTCACTCTGGTTAGATTGACTGCTTTTATTGGTAAAGTGCAGAGCGTCTGCTCATTCACACACACACTGCTCACAGCAATCTGTGACAATAAGAATCAACCAATAGGAGATCGAGAGTAGCCGATCTGGCGCTTATAATAAGACCGGAACTTATGATAAAAAATAAGGAAGAAATCAAAGCAGAACCACCTCACACACGTCATGTAACCACGAGTTAACAGTCTCTGTCAGGTGATTCGTATTCACTGCTTTCTTCAAATGGCCCAGAGTTATCCTCACAAAAGTGAAACGGCGAAGGCGAACGTATACACCGATTACAACAGAACTGGTGGACATCTAGGTTTACGTGGATGAGCTGGAAAACCCTAATTTTAAACCTATGGCTGTACGAATCTGTTTTGGTGATCAGAAGCCATGGGGACGCTACACTACTGCCTTGTGGATCGGACTTTAAGTGAAAGCCTTGGGAGTGGTCACTCAAGAAAACCACTACCTGCTTCAATCCGGGCATTCACGCAGTATTTCAGCCATCACCCACACCATAAGACTTTGTGTAGTGCATCTATTGGTGTACGTAGTGTACCAGATTTGTGTTCTATTCAAACCAAAAGTGTGTGTATGGACATCAATAGTATTTGGAGGTTTGTATCAGCTAACAACCTGTCGTCCCACCTATTTAAATACCTTTTTGGTCTATAAGTCAATCTTTCCTTAAATACACCATCGAAAACAATTTTCTTTACTGTTCCTCTAAAATGTAACTAATTTCTTCTTGGGGTACTACTTCCTACTAGCTGAAATACAAGGGAGATCACAGACGCCAGGGGACAACTGTTTGAGGCTGTTGACACACACACAGTCTGTTTGAAGCGGTTTTTGAAGTTGATTCAGTATTTAAGATCTAACCGCCAGTCACCACCGACCGCCACAAAGTAAGTCGAGATGAACAATTTTCGGGGTAAGCTTTCTC